ATTGCGACTCCCATGGCCTATACAACTTCAGTATTAGGAAAAGGCTAACTAAATTCCATCATGTTTGGAGCTTGTAGACCTACTAGAAGCTTCATTATCTACCAAGGAACTAGTCCGAGTTCTACCTTGCCAGAATATACGTGATTGAGATTTACTGGCTTTACTGCTGGGATGCACCGCTCTGATTTAATAGCTCTCATGAAACCTTGATATTACCTATAGTACAAAGAATTATAGAGTTTCAAAATCCCTAAAAATCATACATAAGTATTCATTTGTATGATAGCATAAATCATTACTGTCAATCTTTTTCAATATTCACTCAAAATTTCCCTTCATGGCTTCCTGTGCAATTAAGGCAATATCCCTGTTGGTTAGGTAAGTATTCACTATAACATTTTTAAAAAGTATGAATGAGAATGAATAACAATCATAACCAAGATATTAATACTCATTCATACCTCATTCTTGTTATGACAATGAACTAAAACTACATTAGACGGCCTGTCAAACCCCATATGCAATCAGTCAGTATCAATATTTAGTAGCTGGATTATGGCACTTTTACTTAATCATACCACAATAAATATTAAAGCATCTGAGGATGTAAAATGAAAGGTAAATACTATGAAAAGACTTCAAATGAAGAGAAAAATACGATAGATATAGGGTAGATAATTTCTTCCGCCGTGGCTTAAATAAACTCTAAAATATACTCACAAAGTCAACATAATAGCTGATAATCATTTGGTACTCTTGTCCATTTCTCATGTGGATAATCCAAAATAAACCTTATTACAAAAAAAAATACGATAAGCTACTCGAAAACTAACAAATAAAGAAAATAAACACGTCAGCCAAACTACCAAAACAGCCGACAACCCAAACCAAAGACAAAATACTACTTCTTATACCAATAATAATTAACACAGACTTCTTCAAACGTCCCTCACCATTAATATTAAAAGTTTCGGGGTTCATGTACTCGAGGGCCATCAACTTTCGGCGGAACATTGTGGTTTGTTTTTAAAAAAGAACTACAGAAAGTGTGTTGTGACAACGTGACAGTCGGCCTCGGAGATGGTGATGCCAGAATCAGCTGTCTCTACCTAAAGCGAATTCACGCATGCGATCTTACGCGAACGATGGGAAGGCGGGTCGCGAATTCAAATTTTAGTTAAGGGTCACGGAGTTAAAAATGTCCATTTTTACATGTGGTTGTTTAAGCTTTTTCATCCCGTGGCAACTTACGGATGACCGTCACTTGTTTAATTATATGAAGCGGTTTTACTGAATGTTAGCAAAAGTGCGCCCTTTTTCCTCAAGTGAGTCACGAAGAGTGTATGAATGTATGGCAGCATTGTTACTTCAAGAATTTATATAATTCTGATAGTATTTCAGAATATTTTTGTGATTTATTTCTTTTAAAAATGTATAATCTCATTCACAGTGTCTCCATTTCTTGTATGTCTGTATCCTCCCAGTCTAATGATCAAACAACATATTTACTTATGCGATGAAATATATGATCTTATGAGAAAGATCCAAGAAAATTTTTATAGAGTAAAAGTTAAATGACTGTCAAAATGACACTACAGAATTGAATATCTGAAAAGATAAAAATTAAAGGCACTGTCACTATTGCTACTACAGCTATAATAATGAGTATGATGATAATGATAATATATGTAGATAATAACAATTATCATTATCATCATCATCATTATTGTTATATTAATAGAAGTAATAATGATAATGATAAATGATAATAATAATGTTAATAATGATAATGGTAGTGATGATGATATTGATAATCATAATAATAATGAAAATGATAGTAATGGAAAATAGAAATAATATAAAACAATAATTATAATGAAAATAATTATCATTACTATTATTATTATCATTACCATTATTGTAAAAAATAGTAAAAACAATAATGATAATGATGAAAATAATGATAGTGATAACAATGATAGTAATAATAATAGTAAAGATAATATAAATAATGAATGGTAATGATAACAACAATGACAACAACAACAACAACAACAGCAATAATAATAATTATAATAATAACAACAACAATAATAATACTAAATAATAATAAACATCAATAATAATGGTAATAACAATAATAATGATATCAATAATGATGATGATAATAGTAATGATACCAATAATAACAACAGTGATAATAATGATAAAAACAATGATAATAACTTTAGTAATAAATTACAACAACAATAATAACAATAATAATAGTAATAATAATAAAGATAATAATGATAATGATAATGATAATAATAGTAATGATAATAATAAAAAGATAACAATGATAATGAAAATAACAATAATAATAATGATAACGATGATAATGATAATGATAATAGTAATGATGATAATGATAATATTAATAATAATAATAATAATAATATAAAATAATAATAATAATAATAATAATAATAATAATATAAATAATAAATAATAATAATAATAATAGTGATAATAATGATAATGAGGATAATGATAATGGTAATGATAATGATAACAATAATGAGAATGATAATAACAACATTAATGATAAAGATGATAACAATAATGATGACAGTAATAATAATAATGATGACAGTAATAATGATAATGATGACAGTAATAATAATAATGATAAGGATAGTCATAATAATAATAATAATAATGATAATGATAATGACAACAATGCTAATAGTAATGATAATAGTAATAGTAATAATGATGATGATTAGAATTATTGTAATGAGGATAATGATAATGATAATAGTAATAATAGTGATAATAATGATAATAATAACAATGAAATGGTGATAATGATGATGATAATAATGATAATAGTAATAATGATGATAATAATAATGATGATAACGATAATGATAATATTAATGACAAAAATAATTATGATAAATTTGATAATGATAACATGATAAATTTGATAATGATAACAAGATAATAATGATAAAGATATCAATAGTAATGATAATAATTAGAAAATAATGATAATGATGATGATAAAAAAGTAATATCAATAATAACAATGATAATGATGATGATGATGATGATGATGATATAATAATAATAAATAATATATAATAATAATAATAATAATAATAATAATAATAATAATAATAATAATAATATAATAATAAAATAATAATAATAATAATAATATAAATAATATAATAATAATAATAATAATAATAATAATAATAATAATAATATATATAATAATAATAATAATAATAATAATAATAATAATAATAATAATAATAATAATAATAATATAATAATAATAATAATACAATAATAATAATAACAATAATAACAATAATAATGATAATAATAATAATAATGATAATGATGATAATGATGATGATGATAACAACAATAATAATAATGATAATAGTAATAACAATGATATACAATGACAATGATAATTATGACAAAACAATAATGAAATGATAATGATAATTATGACAAAAAATAATGAAAATGATAATGATAACAATGATGATAATATAAATGATAATGATAATTATGATAATAATGATATAATAATAGTAATAATAATAATGAAAATAATATAATAATATAATAATAATAATATTAATAATAATAATAATAATAATAATAATAATAATAATAATAATAATAATAATAATAATAATAATAATAATAATAATAACAATAATAATAATAATAATAATGATAATAAAAATGTTAATAATAATGTTAACGATAATAGAAATGATAGCAATAAAAATGATAATGATAATGATAATGATGAGAGCAATAATAATAACAATGATAACAATGATGATGATAATAATGATTATGATAATAATAATAATAATAATATTGATTATTATTATTATCATTATTATGATGATAATAATGATACTACTACTACTACTACTAATAGTAACAATAATAATAATTATTATCATTATAATGATAATAATGATAACAATAATAGCAATAATAATAATGATAATAACAATAACAATGATAATAATAATGATGATGATAATAATAATGATATAATAATAATAATAATAATAATAATAATAATAATAATAATAATAATAATAATAATAATAATATAATAATAATAATAATAATAATAATAATAATAATAATAATATAATAATAATATAATAATTATATAATAATAACATTAATAATAATAATAGCAATAACAATGATGATAATAGTAATGATAATGATGATAATAATGATAATCATAATAATGATAATACTAATGATAAATAATAATATAATGATAATGAATAATAACAATGGTAATACTACTACTACTCCTACTACTACTATTACTATCACTACTACTGCCAATACCACTACTAATAATGATGAATATGGTTAAGATAATAATAATAATGTTGATAATAATGGTAATGATAATAATAATGATAATGATGATGATAGTATCGATTAAGATAATAATAGTAGTAGTAATGAAAATGATAATAATAATAATGATAGTAAAGATAACAATAAGAACAATAATAAGAATAATACTGATGATAATACTGATAATGAAGATGATTATGACAGTAGTGATAATAATAATGGTAATAATATCATGATGATAATGGACAAAGTATGATAATCATAATGATAATAATAATAATGATGGTAAAGAAATAATAATAATGATTGTATTAATACAGCTGCTATTACTACTACTGATGATGATGATAATGATAATGATAGCCATGATGATAACAATAATGATATAGTAGAAATTCTGATAATACTAACAATAAGAATGACAAAAATAGAAATTACAATAACCTATAACTTATATAACTTATTAAGCTTTACAAGCGAGGAATGGTTGAAGGATTCATGCACTGTAGAGGAAGAAAATCAATGTGAATTGAAAATGTTAATCTCATAAAACGTTTGATATAAACCTTGACCCCGGATTCATCGCATACACCGGATTCACACTAGACGAACGGAAGCCTAGAGTTGTTTACCCCGAGTTCAGACTACTCTATTACAGGTATATTTTTAAACTTCTTTTTATCAGGTTTTTATTTTTTTTTTTTTGCACGGTGGGTTGCACACATCATTTGATTGTATACATTTGTGTTTTTCTTCAAACCACCTTTGATAATACTTAATTGTTCTAAATAGTAGTCACTTCTGGAAAAGAAGTTTAGTTTCTACTTATATATATTTTTTAAATCCAGCATAAGCTAATGCTCTTTACATATTTAATTTATTTTGAAAAATATGCAATTAGCCAGAAAATCATCATGATTTTTTTTTCAGAAAAATAAACAGGAATACCTTGTATAAGAAACAGAATGACACTATGTTTTGTAAATTATTCTGTGAAGGATGAGAATGCATGCTTATTGGAAAGAGTAGTTCTCAATTGGACACCATGAAAAATACAAACAAAAATTCATCACATATATTCTGTGAAGATGAAGTTATTATCTTGTAAAAATATACTTGATAGAATTATGTTGGCTTTTGCATAAATGCGAAGCATGAAGGCAGTAGTAATTACTTGTTGCATTCTGGCAATCCTATGTAGGTAAATAGATGAAGGATAGAGGGGTGGATCCAGGAGGGGTGTGGGGGCTATACAACCCCCAATATTTTGCAGGGTGATGTTTTTAATATTTTTGTTTTTCCCCCCCAAATTTTTGTGGTATCCACACTAGGAATAGGTCTATGAATACCTAAGCACTCGACAAAAACTTGGATAAGAAATATATTTATATGTTCTCCCGCATGATGCTAGCTTCCAAATCCCCCCCCCCCCCGATACTGAAATGTCTGGATCTAACCCTAGGATATAGCTATGTACTGTGACAGCATAAGGTATTATCACACAAGCTTTTTATGTATCCTTTTTTTTCCTCAATAAGAAATTTGTAGACTTCTAAGTTTTACTTGATTTTCTGTATGTGGAACAAGCTTGCTTCCCAGTGGTCATCCTCTGTTAGCCTCATGCAGTGTCAAATATTGAACTGCATGTCTTGGATAACCTCCAGATTGTGTCTTGTTTAATTGTTTCCATCAAGCTGACAGATACTTTTATATTTGCTGTCATTGTGGCTGACTTCCCTACAATACCAGCACACTTCTTACAACACCTTTGTTTGGCTTTCACCAATACTCCTGTCATTTTTACTGTTCTTTAATGCAAGTTCACATTTTTGTGTATTTTTTCTCATGTAATATATAAAAAGGAACAATGTTAAAGTACATGAATTTATAATCCTATGTTAAGGGAGAGTTGCTATTCCTTGCTCCGAAGTTGAGTATATTTACTGAGGATTTCAATGTTTACATTATGTTTGTAAGTTTTCATCACCAACTCAAATCCTGTTAAAAAAAAGAAATTAAATGATCATGTATATACAGTATTAGTATTTGAATTCTAATTTCTTTATATTTTTTCAGAGAAAATGGTACCAGCAAGGAAAAGTAGACGGCAGAGCAAACCACCGGCTAAGTTGCAAGACTTTGTATATGAAGATGGTCGAGAGAAAGAAAAAGGTATGTATCTCTTTTACATCACTGTTTAAGGAAGTTGCACATATATGGTACATAAGACACCAAAGCATTTTATGAATATATGAACTAATGTTAGAATAGGAATTTTCTCTCTCTCTCTCTCTCTCTCTCTCTCTCTCTCTCTCTCTCTCTCTCTCTCTCTCTCTCTCTCTCTCTCTCTCTCTCTCTCTCTCTCTCTCCTCTCTCTCTCTCTCCTCTCTCTCTCTCTCTCTTCTTCTCATTCTCTCTCTCTTCTCTCTCTATTCTCTCTCTCTCTCTCATATTCTCTCATCTTCTCTCTCATATCTCTCTCTCTCTCTCATTCTCTCTCTCTCTCCTCTCTCTCTCTCTCTCTCTCTCCTCTCTCTCTCTCTCTCTCTCTCTCTCTCTCTCTCTCTCTCTCTCTCTCTCTACTCTCTCTCTCCTCTCTCTCTCTCTCTCTCTTTTTCTCTTGTTTCCTACTTACTCCTCTCTTGTTCTGTTCTTATCTTCATTCTCTCTTTCTTTCCGACCTCATTTCCTCTTCCGACAATCGTTCCACGATCCTCATGTGCTCTCTTCTCTCTCCACTCGATTCTCTCTCTCTCTCCCTCATTACTTCTCCTCTCTCTCTCCATCATAGTCCTTCTCTTCTCTCTCTCCCCTCATTTCTCGGCTCTCTCTCTGCTCCTCTCATCTCTCTCTCCTCTTCTCTCTCTCTCCTCTTCTCTCAATTTCCTCTCTCCTCCTCTCCTTCCCTCTCTCTCATTACATCTCTTCTCTCTCTCTCATCTCTCCTCTACTCTTCTCTCATATTTCTCTCTTCATATTCTCTCTCATATTCTCTTCTTCAGTATTCTCTCTCTTCATTCCTCTCTCTCTTCCCTTCATTTCTCTTTCTCTCGACCCTCTGTTCTCTTTCTCTTTCTCCTTTCTCTTTCTCTTTCTCTCTTTTCATTACCAATTCTCTCTTTCTCCTTTCTCTTTCTCTTCTCTTTCTCTTATCTCTCTTTCTCTCTTCTTTCTGATCAGTCCTTCTCGTATTCTCTTCTCTCTCTCTTTCATTCCGACAAAGTCTATCTTCCTCAAGCCTCTACCCACCTTATCTCATGCGTACTCTATTCATCATCTGCACATACAAGCCTTACCGCCTCCAATCACTCACCACTCTGACTCCTCTACTCACTCGTCTATTACCCATTACTCATGTCTACCTTTTCCCTAAATCTCCCCAATCGAATACTCACACTCATCCTCTCTCTCTCTCTCTCCATCTCTCCTCTCTCTCTCTCTCTCATCTCTCTCTTTTCTTCTTTTTTTTTTCCTTTTTATCTTAGCTCTCCATCTCTTCTCTCATCTCTCTCTCTCTCTCTCTCTTCTCTCTCTCCCTCTCTCTCATCCTTCCTTCTCTCTCTCTCTCGTACACTCATCTCGTCTCTCTCAACTGCTCTCTCTCTCTCATCTCTCTCTCTCTCTGCTCTGTTCTCTTCTCTCTTCTCTTTCTCTTTCTCCTTTCTCTTTCTGCTTCTCTCCTCTTCTCTCCTCTCAGCTCTTTTCTACTACTCTTCCTTTCTTCCTCCTCTCTCTCTCCTCTCTCTCTCTCTCTCTCCATCATCTCTCCTCTCTCACTTCTCTCCTCTTCTCCTCTCTCTCTCTCTTCCTCTCTCTCCTCTCTCATCTTCTCTTCTCTCTCTTTCTCTCTTCTCTCTCTCTTTCTCTCTTTCTCTCCTCTCCTCTCTCCTTTCTCCTCTCTTCTCTCCTCTTTTCTCTCTCTTTCTCTCTCTTTCTCTCTTCATTCTCTCTCTCTCTCTCTCTCTCTCTCTCTCTCTCTCTCTCTCTCTCTCTCTCTCTCTCTCTCTCTCTCTCTCTCTCTCTCTCTCTCTCTCTCTTCTCTCTCTCTCTCTCTCTCTCTCTCTCTCTCTCTTCTCTCTCTCTCTCTTTCTCTCTCTTTCTTCTTCTCTTTTTTCTCTTTCTCTCTTTTCTCTCTCTCTCTCTCTCTCTCTCTCTCTCTCTCTCTCTCTCTCTCTCTCTCTCTCTCTCTCTCTCTCTCTCTCTCTCTCTCTCTCTCTCTCTCTCTCTCTCTCTCTCTCTCTCTCTCTCTCTCTCTCTCTCTCTCTCTCTCTCTCTCTCTCTCTCTCTCTCTCTTCTCTCTCTCTCTCTCTCTCTCTCTCTCTGTCTCTCTCTCTCTCTCTCTCTTCTCTCTCTCTCTCTCTCTCTCTCTCTCTCTCTCTCTCTCTCTCTCTCTCATGCTCTCTTATGAGCATAATGGTATTCTTTACAGTAATGCTCAACAACTCAAAATGGTAATGATTTAATTGATATATGCCATACCCAATTGCTTGATATGTATAAGCAGCTTATTTTTACTCATTGAAATAATTATATCATTCCTTGAATTTTCAGGAATCAGTTTTATATTTTCTGATGCTCTTAATGTCATTTCTGTTATTATTATTATTATTATTATATTTATTATTATTGACATTAGGGCATTATGATGTTATAATCAGTCCTGATAGAAACAAGAATAAAAAATTAAAATCTTTCCGTAAATCAAGGAAATGGGTAAATAGATGATTTTAGGTAGATAGCAAAATTGATAAACTAAAATCACAGTGAGCATTATATGTAAGTCATGCCACAGCAACATCATTGGGTATAATTTATTGAACTTTTATAACAGTAATTGAAAGATAAATATATTTTGTATATACTTTTATTAGTTTTATGTGTCTTTCATCTGATTTTAATAGTATATTTCTTTTTCTTTCCAGGTGTTACCACACCAGAGAAAAAGAAGGTTGAAGGTAGTCTCAGAGGTCCTTTTCACTCTTCTTTTTTATGAAATACTGCACAAGTCATTTGTAATAATTGTAAAAAATGATTGATATCTTAACTCCTGAATATGTAAAAAAAAAAAAAAAAAAAAAAAAAAAAAAAAAAAAGAGTGTATAACTGCTGGTTTGAAGATTTACTTCTTAAGTGGCTCATGTTTAGAATAGTAGAACTATGAACATCTTATAATAACATGCCATGGAGTCAGACCCCTATAACTGTCTTCTGTTTACCCCAAGGGCCGGATTCACTAACGATTGCAACAATCGCAACGCATTTACCAGCCATCATTTACCATTGAGTTTACCAGTGGTGCAAAAGTAGGATTCACGAAGCCATGATAACTTGCAGTTGCAATTGTAAATCTACTCATTCTAAAGGCTTTACTAAAGCAATTCCACCAATCAGTGATGTAACATGTAAATACAACTAAACACAGCAAGATTTTTAAGATCATTGTCACAGCTAAAACACCTTTTAAACATATGTAGGAAAAAAAGGTAAAGATTTATTTGATTATGTCTATAATGTGAGATGTTAGTAAACTTCCCTGGCCATTAATCGTATAAATAGGAACCAGTACAAATACTTTATTTTAGTATATCATTGT